TTAAATACTAACAGAATTAAAGTGGGAAAAAGAATACAATGCAATCACTTTAGGCTTCAACACAACTTTCACTCCAAAGGACAGATCAACCAGACAGAAAGTAAGTAAGGAAACAGAGGCACTGAACAACATATTAGAACAGATGGACCTAATGGACATCTACAAACACTCCATACAAAATAAACAGAATACACACTCTTCTCAAGTGCCCATGAACATTATCAAGAATAGATTATTTACTAGGCCACAAAAGAGAGCATCAGTAAATAAAAAAGCATTGAAATTGTACCAACCACCTTCTCAGACCACAAATGTATGAAACTAGAAATAAATTATTCAAAGAAAATGAAAAATCCCACAAACACTTGGAGGCTTAACAATATGCTCCTAAATAATCAATGGATCAATGACCAAATAAAAACAGAGATCAAGCAATATATAGAGACAAATGACAACAATAATTCAACACCATAAAATCTGTGGGACACAGAGACGGCCATGTGAAGAGGGAAGTATATTGCAATACAGGCATATCTCAGGAAAGAAGAAAAATCCCATATGAACAGTCTAAACTCACAATTAACAAAACTAGAAAAGAAGAAGAAAGGAGGCCCAGTAGAAGGGGGCCATAGAAGGAGTGAGTAGAAGGGGGGACATAATAAAGATTAGAGCATAAATAAATAAAATTGAGAAGAATAAAACAATAGAAAGAATCAATGAAAGTCGGAGCTGATTAGCTGAGAAAATAACAAAATAGGTAAGGCCCTAGCCAGACTTACCAGGAAAAAAAAGAATCTTTACACATAAATGGAATCAGAAATGAGAAAGGAAAAATAACTACCAACACCACAGAAATACAAAGAATTATAAGAGAATACTATGAAAACTTATATCCTAACAAAGTTGATAACCTAGAAGAAATGCACAACTTTCTAGAAAAATACAACCTTCCAGGGCTGACCCAATAAGAAACAAAGAATCTGAACCACTTAAAAGCAATGAATTGAATTGGTAATCAAAAAACTACCTAAGAACAAAATACATGGATCTGATAGCTTCACTGCTGAATTTTATCATTTAGTGAAGATTTAATACCCACCCTCCTTAAAGTTTTCCAAAAAGTAGAAGAGGAGGGAATACTCCAAAACTCATTCTACAAGATCAGCATCACTCTAATATCAAAACCTGGCAAAGACACCATGAAACAAGAAAATTACAGACCAATATCCCTGATGAACATACATGCAAAAATGTTCAACAAAATATTAGCAAACTGAATTCAAAAATACATAAAAAAGATCATCCATTATGATCAAGTAGGATTTATTCCAGGGATGCAAGGATGGTACAACATTCGAAAATGCAACAACATCATCCACCACATCAATAAAAAGAAGGACAAAAACCACATGTTCAGCTCCATAGATGCTGAAAAGGCATTAGACAAAATTTAACATACATTCATGATAAAAACTCTCAACAAAATGGGTATATAGAGGGCAAGTACATCAACATAATAAATGCCATTTATGACAAACCCACAGCCAACATCATATGTAACAGCAAGAAGAAGCTGAAAGCTTTTCCTTTAAGATTGGGAACAAGACAAGGATGCCGACTGTCCCAATTTATATTTAAAATAGTTCTGGAGGTCCTCACCAAGGCAATCAGATGACACAAAGAAATAAAAGCACTCAAGACTGGCAAGGAAGAAGTTACACTTTCACTGTTTGCAAATGACATGATATTGTAGATAAAAAACTGTAAAGAATGCACTCCAAAACTACTAGAACTAATATCTGAATTCAGCAAATTGCAGGATGAACTAGCAGATAGAGAAATCAGGAAAACAATTCCATTCACAATTGCATCATAAAGAACAAAATACCTAGAAATGACCCTAACCAAGGAAGTGAAGATGTATACTCTGAAAATTACAACACTCATGAAAGAAACTAAAGAAGAGACCAATGAATGCAAACACACCCCATGCTCATGGAAAGGATTAATTAATATTGTCAAAATGGCCATCCTGCCCAAAGCAGTCCACAGATTCAATGCAATCCATATCAAAATACCTAGAGCAAATAGTTCTGAGGTTCATATGGAGCCACAAAAGACCCCGAATAGTTAAAGCAATCCTGAGAAGGAAAAATAAAGTGGGGGGGATTACTCTCCCCAACTTCAAGCTCTACTACAAAGCCACAGTAATCAAGACAGTTTGGTACTGGTACAAGAACAGACCCATAAACCGATGGAACAGACTAGAGAGCCCAGGTATAAACCCAAGCATACCTGCTCAATGAATATATGATAAAGGAGCCATGGATATGCAATGGGGAAATGACAGCCTCTTCAACAATTGGTGTTGGCAAAACTGGAGAGCTACATGCAAGAGAATGAAACTGTATTGTTTAACCCCGTACACAAAAGTAAATTCAAAATGGAACAAAGACCTGAATATAAGTCTGAAACCATAAAACTCTTAGAAGAAAACATGGGGAAAAATCTCTTGAATATAAACATTTTTCCTGAACACCATCTCCCAGGGCAAGGGAAACAAAATAAAAAATGAATAAATGAGACTACATCATGCTAAAAAGCTTCTGTACAGCAAAGGACACCATCAGCAGAACAAAAAGGCATCCTGCAGTATGGGAGAATACATTTGTAAATGACATATGCAACAAGGGGTTAACATCCAAAATATATAAAGAACTCAAATGCCTCAACACCCAAAAAGCAAATAATCCTGTTAAAAAATGGGCAGAGGATACAAACAGCACTTCTCCAAAGAAGAAATTCAGATGACCAAGAGGCACATGAAAAAGATGCTCTACATTGCTAATTGTCAGGGAAATGCAAATTAAAACCACAATGAGATATCACCTCACACCAGTTAGGATAGCCAACATCCAAAAGACAAACAACAACAAATGTTGGTGAGGATGTGGATGGAGAAAGGGGAATCCTCCTACACTGCTGGTGGGAATGTAAACTAGTCGACCACTATGGAAAGCAGTATGGAGGCTCCTCAAAAAAACTCAAAATAGAAATACCATTTGACCCAGGAATCCCACTTCTAGGAATTTACCCTAAGAATGTAGGGTCCCAGTTTCAAAAAGATATATGCACACCTATGTTTACTGCAGCACTATTTACAATAGCCAAGAAATGGAAGCAACCTAAGTGTCCATCAGTAGATGAATGGATAAAGAAGATGTGGTACATATACACAATGGAATATTATTCAGCCGTAAGAAGAAAACAAATCCTACCATTTGCAACATGGATGGAGCTAAAGGGTATTATGCTCAGTGAAATAAGCCAGGAGGAGAAAGAGAAGTATCAAATGATTTCATTCATTTGTGGAGCATAAGAACAAAGCAAAAACTGAAGGAACAAAACACCTGCAGACTGACAGAACCCAAGAATGAACTAACAGTTACCAAAGGGAAAGGGACTGGAGAGGGTGGGTGGGAAGGGAGGGATAATGGAAATAAGGGGCATTATGATTAGCACACATAACATAGGGGGGTCACAGGGAAGGCAGTGTACCACAGGGAAGACAAGTAGTAACACTATAGCATCTTAGTACTCTGATGGACAGTGACTGGAATGGGTATGTGGTGGGGACTTGATACTGGGGGGAAACTAGTAACTACAATGTTGCCCCTGTCATTTTATATTAAAGATACCAAAAAAAATTATACGTAAAAGAAAAATATTGTGTATCAATGATAGAAAGAGAGAAAGAGACAAAGAAAGAACTGATATCTCTGCTATTATGTAACTTGGATAATTAACTGAAGAGAAAGCCAATTATGTTGGCAACTAAATAATTGTGGGAATAATCTTTTTTATGGCTAATTCTACTGCCTAAGAGTATAAAGATTAAACATTATATTGAGCTGAATAATACAACTACTTAAAAATCATTCCTAGTAACTCTGTATGTATGGTAAAACATATATAAAATTTGACATTTTAACCATTTTTAATTTATGACTAAGTGGTGTAGTAACATTTTCGGTGTTACAGAAACATTATATCACTATTTTGAAAATGTTTCCATCAAACAGAAACTGTATATATTAACAGAAAGTATTTATTTCATCTTCCACTTCCCCTTAGCAACCTCTAATCTACTTTCTATGAATTTGCCAATTTTAGATATTTCATATATGTGGAATTCTAATAATATTTGTCCTTTTGTATCTGGCTTATATCACTTAGCATGTTTTCAACATTCACTCACATTGTAGAATATATTAGAATGCCATTCCTTTTCACAGTTGAATAATATTCCATTATATGAATATACTACGGTTTGTTTAGCCATTCATGTGTTGATGAACACTTTGTTTGGTTCCATTTTTACCTATTGTGCCTAGTAACTTTTTGGTAATATTGAAAGCAGTGAAGTTAAAAAGGAAGCATTGCTATCAATTGTGAAAAGAAGTTACCTGACCTTCAAATGTTTTCAAGAAAATTTAAAATCTTACATGTGAAAGTGTAGCAAACATCCATATTTCCTATACCGAGAAGTTGTAATTTTCTACAATTACACTCAGTTTTATTTAAAAAATGTAAACATTATGGAAAATGCAAAAATGACTTTTGATATTCACCCGCCTTAACCCTTTTTACACTTCCCAAAGGCAACCATTATCATTAATATCATGTTGTATACTATTTTTAAATACCTTCATTTTCATCTAAGTAACTTCAAATAATACATTATCAGGTATTTATTTATTTATTTATTTATCCTAAGATTTAAAAAATATTCTTTTTGCATTCTCAAAACATGTTTCCTAAATGCAGATATTAAACTGGGAATTAAAAAGCCTTTTGCCATTTTAAAATAAGTTGCCTAAAATTATGTTCCAAACTTCTGAAACATCAAAGGGAAAAAAAACCCAACCTCTTAAACTAACCAGAGTAAGAAAATTAGTTACCAAAGTTGAAATTTTTTTCACTGAAATTGAAATACTCACAGGTTTTAAATGGATGACAGAACTATTAGACATGACTGTGTGGTCTCCCTCCATCATGTCTAGCTCACTCTTGTCATCTGAGGCATCTGGAAGACTGTTAACACTACTGCTTTGACTACTGGCACTGATGGACATACTGGGAATAGACTGATTACTTCCAACACTATTCACTGTTCCTGTCCGTCCAACACCGTGATCTTGTTCCTGAGGAAAAAGAGCATTAGATTCAAATATCTTTATCTCCTGAATTCTTGCTTATTAGCACCTAGCACAGTACTTGGCACACAAGCAGTCTATTTTGAGAAATTCCTTGTATTTACCAAGACCAGGAAGTTTATCAATTGTTAGTTGACAGATTAAAAAAATGACCAACAAGTAAATACCAAAAAGCCCAACCATGTGAAAAAGTTAATCAATTCTGAGTTATTTCCAAAGTGTAGTCTTTTCTCTAAAATTTTTGAGATTACTTCGAAATCCATTTCTACTACACATCTCATACGGTATACACAGAGACGCTGCTCATTTCTCAATGATTCCAATGGTGAATTTTTTATTTTTAATCCTATAAACATCCCATTTAGTTATTTTTTATTGAAGCCTTTTATATTTTTTTCTTCTTAGGATATAGTCTTTCGCCTAACCTTCTTCCACTAAGTAATTTCATATTAATTCTATTTTTTGTGTGTGTAAAATTAAAAATTGTATATATATTTAATCATAATTAGTAGACCGTTCTTCTGAAGAAACCAACAACCTTTGGTATCTGGGCACCAATATTATAGTCTTACCAAACCAAAATTCTTTAAGATATGTGGAATAATAAATACAGATCCATGGTATATAGAGGATCTTTTCTTACATCCACAGCCTAACAAAGTTGCTGTCATTCTAATGTTTAATGACATTAGAATTTTATTAATTTCGCTTTAATAAAGTACTTCACATACCTAAAATAGCCCAATTTTCTAGTGACTACGGTTAGAACTAAAAAAAAGATAAAAACAAAATCAAAAACACCAAAACTGTATGTAAGAAAGTCTTTTATTTTATAGTTCATTAATTATGTAGTGTTATTAAAAAGAAAAGTAACTACTACTCCTGTTTTCAGAATGCAGGGATCTTTCTCAATAGAAAGCAATAAAAAAGAATCAAAGCTTTGGCATTCCGGCATGAACAAAGAAGAAAACAGAAAATACTTAGACTAAAAAAGATAGCTCTACAAATAATAAGCTTTACATTTTCCTTTGAGGAACTTCTGTAACATTTCTACTGCAAATTTGGAAACATGGCAAAATGGAAAGAACATGGTCTCAAGAGTAATATACGAATCCGAACCCACATGCTTCTACAGTAAGTTAGTTAACCACTCTGAGCCTTACTTAACTCACCTGTAAAATGAGTATTTTAGAACCACGTGGAGGACTGAATCCCTATACACAACTGAAAAGAATAGAGTTTTTTTTTTTTTTACTTATTTTTATTAAGGTATGATTGATATGCACTCTTATGAAGGTTTCACATGAAAATCAATGTGGTTACTACATTTACCCATATTATCAAGTCCCCACCCATACCCCAATGCAGTCACTGTCCATCAGTGTAGTAAGATGCCACAGATCCACTATGTGCCTTCTCTGGGGTACACTGTTCTCTGCATGAAGAATCAAGTGTTCTTAGTAACAGAATAAGAATGCTTGGTAATTTTTTTCCCCCCCAGGATAGATTTTGCTAACTCACATGTTTATTTTATTTATTTATTTATTTTTAAAAAAGCAAGAAATTTCCAATTTAATAAACATTTATCAAACATTACACAAAAGGCACTGGGGGAAAGGTTTATACAATAAACAAGATAAGGAGAATGGTTGGTAATTCTAATGACTTCTCTGTGAGCACCGTCAACTTCCAAAGCCTGTAATTTCAAATACTTCCAAAGCTGTGTCCATGCCATCAGACAATCAGGCAAAAAAGTGTTCAGTAGACCAGAATTTTGAGAGGGACTAGATTAAATAAAAATTGAACAGGTTTCTTTAATAAAAGACTTCACAGAGCTTTACTATGCTAATATGCACTACCAAGAGATTGGTTTAAAGAATGCAAAACCTTTTTCCCCACCTGGGACCTTAGAGAATCACTGTTAATACACAATCTGGAAACCACTGATATAAAAGATTCTTGGCAAGAAAAGCTGCATAAGGAAAGAAACCAATAAAGAGACCCCAATATCTGAGCCATTTCTCAGTTATTACCTCTTCTTCTTCCTGTGCTTCTACTGCTGGTCCATTATGTGCCTCCTGGAAAAGGAGCTTCTTCATCTTTCGGTACTGCAGATTGTCCAGCTCTCTTACTGCATCCTTTGTCCTTTGAATGAGATCTATTAACACTGTTTCAGGGCGCTCCCGAAGAACAAACATGTGCTGGTTAAGAGTAGAAGGCAAAAGTCAGGTTGAAACCTATATATTTTTTCATTCAGAACGAATGAATCCCTTCTTAAACCCTAGAGTTACTATCCTAAATAATGATAGATAATGCATGTAATCAATAGCTATCTAATTCTGCTGTGCTTTTTACTTCTTATATTTATAAAATTTAATTTACATGTATATACTCTATGCCTACATAACATCCCCCGTACTTTTTGAAAACTTTGAACATGACACCTTTGTTGGCCAACTGAAAATGCAGAGTTGAAATAATCAGAGTCTAAGTAAACATTAAGAATTAAGTCCAACTAGAGCCCTAAGTAAACGCTTACAAATTCTTAGAACTGATTTCATAGAGGAGACACGTTCAGTTCTGAATTACATTAGATTTCAACAGGAATGTATTTAGTGATGGTGAATTACGTAACATACCACTTGGGTATTACGTGTTACTTTACCTTGCTTAAATGACACTTCATAAAACACTAGCAGTTGATTAAAAGACATTATGTATTAGTGATTTTTACCATTAATATTTAATAAAGCTTAAGATTATTCAGTACAGAAAAGTAGAAAGAACAATTCTACTATAAGATTATCATTGTTACATTTGGTATTTTTTGGATATTTATTTCTTCTCAGAAATTTTCTGTGTATAGATTTTGTTTTGTAGTTAGCACACAGACTGCAGAAAGATGACTTGTGCACTGGAGTTCATGAGATGATCTTGAACTCTTTTAAGACTTTTACCTCCTTTATTAGCTCAAATTTATTTCTTCTCTGAAGAGTTGTAACTATACATTATTCTCTTTTCATTGCTGTAAGTATTATGCTATTTCAACTCATAAACATAATGCCTACAGACTATTTCATCAAATGTTCATGCCAAAATTACATAACCATTATTCTAATTCTGGATAATTATTTTCAATTTTTCATTCTGAGATAAATAGCTTCATATATTAAATCACTTTTTTCCATTTTATTTTTTTTCCTTATGACAGACTGCAACAGAAATGTGATTAGGTCAAAGGGAAGGATGCACTTGACAGATATTTCCTATCACTTCCAATAAGGTCAATACACAAAATGGACCAGGTACATGAATATACATGCAGGATCTAATTACCCAAGGCCAAGTATCCATTCCTGGAGGGTTGGGTTATTACCAAAAGAGCGTCTTTTGCCTTCATGAGGCAAATGTAAGAAGCCAGTCACATTCTTCCTTTTCCTGAGCCTTAGCTTGGTATGTACCATTATTTATGATATTTGGTCTTTTTTATTTGAAAATAATATATTTAATAGTTTTCTAAGTTATTTGTTTTCTATAAATGGATCCTGCTTATTTTTCACTAACATAATTCATAGCTATACTAAACCTTTTGTTGCTATTGTGAATAATTTTTTAGGCTTTCATTTGAGACTGTAAGTGTGCTTATGGCCTAAAATTTTGTTAAGTGTTACTGAAACTATATTGCTCTTCTACATACTGTAGTCGCAAATAATACTACTGAATATATACATGATCCTTTCAATATCCTTGCATCTTGAACTGTGTGTTGGTGAAAATAAACTGAACCTCTTTGAAATTCTAAAATACTCATGCAGAAAGTCTAATTTTCTAGTGAAAAATCCACAAAATTCCTTAGGGTCACAAAGAGATAGAGTCAACTGCTACTCACTAATGCCTTATCTAGATGTTTTAAGAACTATATTAAACTGAACAATACTATTATTGCTATTAATAAGATGTCAACCTATAAATGAAATAAAACATTTTTGAGAACAGAAAGCATACACTAATAATTTATTTAAATTAGGTAACCAAACCTATTGAAAAATGAATAGAATTCACATTACTTTTAAAATATTTTCATTGCTAAGTTAGAAAAACATATTTCTCAAAAGGAAACAAAAATGTGATATCCATTTTTAACAGTTCTTTTGAAATCTCTTTTCTCCCACAGTATTTATGTAAATGTATTACACATCATTTCTCTTACTTCCATATTATTTTATATAGAATAGATATATAAAGTGTGGTAGATACAAAACTTAAATCCAAAGTTAAACTATGTTTTCCCAATTCTGAAATGCCATGGTTCCACATGAATTAAAATATATTGTTGTAACTCATGAATATATGCTTGCACATATAAAAATTAAGCCATTTAGTACTACTAAATTGGATATTTAACTATATATTCTATTCAGACATGGTAAAAGCAGCTAATTTTGAAAAACAAATGAAAAAACTTAGCAACTAAGAAAATTTCCAAGAAAGAATGGTATTAAGAAATTAGTATTTTAGCAAAACCCAGTACAGCGTACTTAATACTGATTCGGAATCAAAGAAGAATAAAACACATTCTTTCAAATAATTTCTTAGGTTTTCAAAACAGAATATAACTGACCTTTAAAAGTTCCTCTGATGTAGGGCGATCTTGAGGGATTTTCTGGAGGCAAGAATCTACAAAGTTGCGAAAATAATCAGACCTATTGTAAAGGAAAGTATCAAGTGAACATATTGCTACTTCCTTTCAAAACACATTCACAAATCAAGGCATGGGCCTACAGGTGGCAGGGAGAATAGAAATGATTAAAAAAAAGTAGACACAATACACTATATATTTCATCATGTAAGTCTATAAAAAGCTATGCAAAGCAACTAATGAATCTTTACCATTTTCCAAAGATAAATTTGCACACATTATCTTAAAATCCTGCTCCCACATACTTAAGTATCACAACTCATTCTACATTGAGGTAAATTAGAGAAGTTAATCATTTTCCTTTTTGCATTCAAATCTAAGATAATGATCTTCTTAGTTTTTTTTTCCTTTTCTCTAGCCACCTCTCTTTCTTGCTTGACCCCTCGATCATCTTCCATATAGCATGTTTCAGAACATCACAGTATTCATATTGGAAGGAACATTTTTATACCTAAGTATTTAGCATCCTCGAGCAAATGGATAAAAGTTCCAGAAAACAGTAAGATGTTTTTTAAAAAATCTGAATTCTGGAATACACTATTATATAGCGTTACTGATGAGAGTTAGTAAGGCAGTAAGTAAAAAATATTCCGACAATGCCTGTCACCAATATTAAAATAAAAATTTTAATTATTTTAAACAGGAATGTTTGTCATCAATATTAAAATAAGATTTAAGTCTTTCAAACAATATGGCTTCTCTCTCACTTACCAACTTTACATTTCCCTGTATGGCCCCGGAAGATGACTGGTTAGCCAGAGACGGGTAAGATTCCTCAAGGGAGGAACAACCTAAGACAGGCACAGTCGCAGGGGGGCCATCAGGTGAGAATTTGGGGATCAACAGAGGTGAGGCTCAGAACCTCACCCCCCCTGCTTTGAGAGAAATCTTCTGCATCCGTGGATGTCTTGCTGCCCTTGTCTAGCCTGGATTAATACTTAGTCCATAGGCACACACCTGATCATCTGATCATCTACATTTGCCTTCTTACAGCACTAAACTATGTTTTCTACCTTTATCTTGCATCTACCTACCACTTCAGCATTTTATTAAAAATAAAAATAATAATAATAATAGGAGAAATGTGGGATCAACATATAAATCAAGTACAAAAATCAAATGAATATTCATATTTGACCTGATGGTTTATAGGTCATATTGCATGATCAAAACCGAAAGTTTCTGTGATGAATGCCCTTGTACTGTTCACCATGTAAGAATTTATTCACTNCGTTATGCTTCAGAAGATTGGAGACTGATGAGAACTAGGCTTGAGATGGATTAATGATTGTGCATTGAGCATTGACCCCCCTATACAGAATTATATTGTTGTTAACAACCTTTTGATCAATAAATATGAGAGATGCCCTCTCAAAAACAAAAAGAAAAAAAAAAACAACTAAGATTTAATTCTTTTATACAAGAATTCTTTCTGAATCCCCAAAGTATCAACCACTGTAAAAACAGCCTGTGTTTAGTGTATTTATTATTCATATGTACCATAATAAACTCCGTGCCAAGATTTCTTCAAAATATCTCTACAGAAGCAGCAAAGACCTATGAACTTGTCTTAATTATATAATGCTAAAAAATAAATTATTGCTACTTTATGCATATTACTTGTGAATTTTAAAGTATGCTAGGTAGTCCCCCAGAACTTTTCAAATGCTAGATACACCTGAAGAATTTCCAATAAAAATTTTCTATTACTGATAAAAATCCTTGTTTCTTAAAATTGGCCATCTGTTCTCAATAAACTTTACATGAGTAACCATATTATCAAAGAAATAGGAGATGCAACATCAAAGCAAATTCTGAATAATAAATAACAATTAGAATGATCCAAAAATTATGAATTACCTGGTAACTCTGATAAATTATCAAATCATTTTTACCTATGTTTCATACCGTATCAATTATAAACCATTTCCCAATTAAATATCTCTATAGGTTGTGGAAATCTATATATTGCAGTTATAAAATATGAATGGTTAAATCATGCTATTTATTACATAATCAGGGTTGTATGCGTCGCTAAGGTGCAAAAAATATATTAATTATTATACAAAAGCCATACTTTTTGCTCCCATGTAGCATCATGTATCTTTTATTTCTAAACTGAGTTACATATATGCTATGAAAAGTAGAGATAATAAAGGATAAACATGATATAAGGATAAAATAATGCTATTTTAATATTTCTTCAGGTTATATACACTTCACCTAATTGAAATGAAATCATTTTGATAACATCATAAAAAAGTATTTAAATTTTACCATGTTGAACAATATATCTCTCAGCCATACTCACCATTCATTAGACTGTAGTGTAGGGGATTCATTTTGGGCTATGTGATATAAGGCACTCATTGCATTCATATTAAATAAAGGAGGCTTCCTTTCCGCTATAAAAGAAAGAAAACTTCCTGTTAAAATATGTGCCTATTATATAGGAGCGTGGAAGTACTGTTGGCTTTTTTTTCTTTTTTAATAAACCCCAACTTAGCAAAAAAGTTTCCAGTAGAGTTCAGAGAACTTATTCAAGTAAGTCAATAGAGTAAATTACAGCCCTGATGCACATCATCTCTAAATAGTGTATTTTTCCAAAAAACAAGAACATTCTAAAAGAACCTAATACATTCATTAAATCAGACCATTAATATGAATACATGACTATTACCTAATCCTCAAACTCCATTGCAGTTTCAATCAAATGTCCCAACAATGTCCTTTGTAGGAAAAATGAGCTTTGATCATCTGCATCCTTCAAGGAAATTGTCCATTTTTTCTACGTTTTACGCTTCCATAAAATTGTTCATAAAATTTCCCTTATACTCCTTTCAATATGTGTAAAATCTGCAGTCATGTCCCGTCATTCCTGATATTGGTTGTTTGTGTCTTCTTTCTGCTCAATCTAGCTAGAGGTTTATTAATTTCATTAATTTTCTCAAAGAACTAATTTGCGATCTCATTGATTTTCTCTATTATTCTCATTTTCTATTTAATTGATTTCTACTATGACATTTTTGGCTCTCTTTATTCTGTTTACTGTGGAATGAATTTGCCCTTCTTTTTCTAGTCTTAAGGTGACAGTTGAAGTCATGACCTTGACAATTCAGAAATATACAATTTTGACTCTTGAATGTCCTTCAGTTTGCCTTTGTGCTGTTATTAAATTTAGATCTGTGGGAGGAATATCACAGAAGCAAATGTCACACTTTTCTCAGTGTATTCTATAATGTGGTACATGATTTCTGATCATCTTGTTATTGGTAATGTTCACTTTGATAACTTAAGGCCATTCCACAAGGTTTCATGGTAAAGTTTCAGTTTTTTCCTTTGTAATTATTAAGAATTTGTGAAAAGGTACTTGAGTCTATACAGATATTCTGTTTTGCATAAAGATTTCATTTTACTCTCTTATTGTATGAATTTAGATTCTTCATTTAATAATTTATAACCTGCTACTATCATTCATTTTGATGTTGAAATTGTTTCATTTTTCAGCAGTTAATCTTTTTAACCTGACTTCTTTCTTTCTGGCATGACTCCGTCATTCCCTGCTCAGTTCCTTACTTTCTGGCACACTAAGATGTTTCAGGATCATATTATACTATCCCTACAGCAGACATGGCTCAACCATTTCTCCAAGGAGCTGTGGCAGTCAATGTGCTCACTGCTACAGCCTATGTCACTTCTCTTAGATCCTGTCAGTGGATAGAGGAAGGGAACACACACGTCCCTCATATATTTGTATTCATACTTGCACATTAGATATTTTTTACTGCCTTTATTTTATTTTTATTTTGTTATCACTGATATACAATTACATGAAAAACATTATGTTTACAAGGCTCCACCCTTCACCAAGTCCCACCACAAACCCGATTACAGTCACTGTCCATCAGCGAAGATGCTGTAGAATCACTACTTGTTTTCTGTGTTGTACAGCTGTCCCCATGCCCCCTCAATTATACATGCCAATTGTAAAGCCCCCTTTCTTTTTCCCCACCCTTAACCCTACCTTCCCACACATCCTCCCCAGTCCCTTTCCCTTCCGAAACTGTTAGTCCTGTGATTCTGCTGCTGTTTTGTTCCTTCAGGTTTCCTTTCTTCTTATACTCCACAACATTTTCTCTGCTTTGATCTTTTGTGGGTCTCTTTATTTCTGCTTACTGTGGATTGAATTTGCCCTTCTTTTTCTAGTCTTAAGGTGACAGTTGAAGTCATGACCTTGACAATTCACAAGTATAATTTTGACTCTCAAATGTCCCTCAGTTTGGCTTTGTGCTGTTACTAAATTTGGTTTACACATCTCTGGCAGGAATATCACAGAAGCAAATATCACGCTTTTCTCAGTGTATTCTATGATGTAGTCCATGGTTTCAGGTCGTCTTGTTATTGATGGTGTTCACTTTGATCACTTAAGGCCATTCCACAAGTTTTCATGGTAAAGTTTCACTTTTTTCCTTTGTAAAAAATCCTTTGTATTGTCTCTGACAATAAGAAACCTCACTCTGATTATCCTTAATATATTTGATGCATCCCCCCTGTACATAGCCAGTCTCCCATCTTGGCCACCACCCTTTCCGCTTTTCCCCATCAAGTTTTCAAACCCCATTCCAAGTCTGTCTACTTCATCCACTCAGTTTCTGACACCCCATCCAAACTGGATCACTTTCTGCAGTGAGGCCCTCCTCATCAGTCCTCAGGAGGGAAGCCCCCTTCCTTTCAATCAGGCACTGCCATGTGTCAGGTTTACCCACCCCAAAATATGGACCTGCTCCTTGGCCTCTGACACCCCATGCTGGGCTACTTCCAGGTATGAATGCTTCGGTTACCCCACCAGGACTCTGATCTCCAAACTTGACTGCCGCCCTTCCTGCATAGGTTCTGCTTCCACTTCCAAGGCATTCTGTCTGTGGGAAGTCCCTCCTCTACTCACAGCACTCTGACACGCCACTCCGGGCTACCATGACTCAGCAGGTGACATGGACACCTGCTTTATACTGTCCTCCCAACAGCTTTAAGAATGACTAGTTTGATCCAGGAAGGGGAAGGGATTACTGAAGAAATTCTTAATGAATAAAATAACTTGTGTTTCTACTGTGATTTATTAAAGTATTCAAAAATTCTAAATGGTGTACCATCAATATATCAGACCAGAGGATGATTTTTGATTCTGTCATTTACCATAAACCTGACCATCTCAATTTAGTCAAAGAACACTG